CTTTTTGTTATCATGTTGTGATAGTAATAAGACTTCAGATCAAGGCAGAATATATTTCTCTTTATTGCAGTATCTATCCGTCTTATCTTAAACCTTCAATGAAAGAATGTTATTTTTATCAACATTTTGAATCGGCTATCCAGTTTGTATTTGATCAGTTTGATGAATGTAAACCTTTGACTGTTTCAGAAACTTGGTCAAGGATCTCCAAGAATACATCAGTTGGTTATGTTTTATTAAAGTTCTTTAATCAAAAGAAGAAGAAAGGAAGCAATTTTTAAATGATATTATTTGAATTTAGCTAATATTAGAAAAAGAAAAGCTGTTAATGATTATGTTACTTTCACAATGTAAGGACATTTATCTTCAAGATTAAAAAGAAAAACTCATCCTATTTGGTTAGTTTAGGCATCAACCGTTCTATCTGAATCGCGGTTTTACTTTCCGTTTTACGACCAGATTTATTCAAATATTTCTTTAAAAGCATTTGGATTAGTGGTCCAAATAGCTACCTAGGCTCAACAAATTACTAAGATCCGATCCGGATTATTCTTTTTATAATACTGACATCAGTGGATGGGATTCATATAGAAGTAATTGGGCACATGAACGTGTATTAAAGGAATTAGGAAAGAAAATGAAGATGAGCTATTATGATAGACTTGAATTTAATTATTGCGTTGAAAGTACTAATCGCACAAAAGTCCTTTTCCCAGATGGTTCAATTTTATAAAAAGAAGTCAGAAATAATTTCCGGTATTATGGATACCTTATTAGTTAATTCATTATTAACGTTAAGTACGTACAATTGGCTGCTTGACTATAATAAGTATGATGAAGGAGATCGATTTAGAATTGTTCTTTCATGGTGGAATAAATCGTGCAATCAGACTAAATTGGTTGGGAAATGATTTTTGCTTTAAATACAGTAAGAATTTTAGATTAGATAAATTTTTAGAGATGTATTATAAATGGTTCGGCTGCGAGATTAAGGTTGAAAAGACTATCGTGACTAATAACTTAGATGATAGAAAATATCTGAAATATCAGTAACAAGGAGGATTGGTGGTTAATGTTAGAATATGTGTAAAGTTAAGATGGATAGAAGATAGCCTGACAATTGAATAGTGTAA